CACGTCAAATTGAAACTTCAGAAAGATGGCTAATGGGATTATAGAGAATGGATTAGAAATAGGGACACCAGGTAGAATTCAAAGAATAAAAACAAACCAAAGAAAGAGTAAGGATGGAAAGGAAGGGGTGAATTCAGATACTATGGAGGTAATAACGATAGTAGTAAAATGAGACTCCACGTAACAAGTAGACTGATACATCACCTCCAAACCCCACAATTATCAAGGGGAAGATAAAGAAGTTTTAAAAAGGACTAAGGACCCTGGCAAACAGTAACATTCAAGAGCCAAGTGGAAGAAGTAGTATACTGCAGGGAAAAAAAAAGGAGTGGTCAGAGGAACAAAAAGGAGAAAGAAAATCGGGAATGTGTCAACCATGGAAGGAGGAAGTTTCAAGGAGAAGAAAGTTGTGTTGAAAGCTATAACAAATTCATTAAAACTAAAAAGTATCCATTGGATTTAGCAAACAGGAATCTATTGGTGACTTTGGCAAAAGCAATTTCAGAAGAATGGTACCAGCAAATGCAAGAATGTTCTATATGCAGGAGCTAAATGCAAGGAAAAGAACTGGAGAAGCAAATGAGGACTTTTCTTTTCAAGAGTCTTGGTGATTAAAAGGAGGGAGATTAGAAACTGAAGAGCTATCCAAGGTTGAAGACTAAGCAGAGCTATGAGCTAAAATAGAGCTTTACCAGAAAAGAGAGTATAAAGACAGAAGAGAGGAGACTGGACTCCAGAGCACAGGCCTCAGAAAAAAGGATTCTACTTCCTTTGAAATAAAGGAAGAGGGATGATGACTGATAGACAGGTGTAAGGGTCAAAAATAAAATGTTTCCATTTCCAAATGTCTGGTGGTACTAATCAAGAGAAGTGTCCAATTCAGACCTGCCTGCTTTCCTGAAGAGTTGCCTTCCCTTCCTGATTTTCTTGATTTCAGTATCCTGTGTTGAACAACAGGAGTAGGGTGAAATGCAATAGAACGTTGATGAATCTGGTCGCTTTCATCAGTCCTGTTCCTCTGATACCATCTGGAGTTCCCAGATAGATGAAGCAATGTCTCCGCCTGGAGTAAGACACTGACCTAATTCTGGGAAGGGAATGTCTTTAATAAATTCTCTCTCATCCCATGATCTCAATCCATACCACTTACGGTCTGTACTATCTGCAAAACTATGCGTCAAATGTGATCCTGTTGGTTCCCTCCCCTTATTTGAGATCACTATTTTCTGCCTCATAACAAGATGTCTTTATCTAATGCCTACTGTGTAGACACTAGGTTACTAAGGACTTTTCTTCTTAATAGAGAGATAAGAAATACATATCTGTGTGCATAAATTATGTATATAATCTATACATACATATGTGTATATATGCATAGACACACACATATATACTTCCATAACAAACAAAAACAATACTACAAGAAAGCACAAACTGCAAAGTGAACAATATAGGAAAAAGAACAATTAGAGCTCAAATTTGGAGCCTCAGAGTAACTTTAGGTATTTAATGCAAAGCAGGCCTGATGTAGAAGGAAGGGTAGGCTTAAAATTGCTAAAAGTGGAAAAAAGTTAAAGATGAACTGGCAAAGATCAAGAAAAGGGCTTGGCATTAGAGAATCCCTCAAAGCTGGTTTTGTGAATCTATAAAGAAATTCAGATGTGTTCTTAAGGATATGAAGAGCTACCAAAGATTTTAAAACGAAGACTGACTTGTCCCATGTTCTAACATGATTTTACAATTAATCTGGAAAACCAAACTAGAGCAATTTTAAAAAGGAAGCCAAAGATAACTCAGAGACTACTATGATACTTGAGATGAGGGTGATAAAGTCCTATGCCATCTTAAAATTTTTATGCAGTAAAGTGTTGGCAATGAAGATGGAAAGAGACTGGTGCCTTCCTGGATATGGGAAAAAGATAAAGGAGGCTAAGAGTACTATTAGGTTTCAAGCTGGAGGGAAGGGAGAATGAGGAAACTCCAAAGGGAATGAAATAGGGACATTCAAACAGCGCAGTTTAACAAGCAAAGAAGTTCAACAAAGTTTAAGATATGTGGGGGTTAAGGCAATGGAGGACACATTTGGGAGATTTATGATAGATGGTTGTGACAAAAGCTTAGGGGGAAAGTCAGTACTGGAAGTATGGATCTGAGAGTCCACTGCATGGGAGGAAATGTTGAGAGAAAAGGTAGAGGATAAAATAGAGTAAGAGGAACTAATGAGGAAGAAGAATGTGAGAGCAGCACAAGAGATTAGACCAGAACAAAGCATTGCACAGGTCTTAGGAAGCAAGTTTTAAAGAGGAAGTACATAACAATGATGAGGAGAGGAGAGAAATATAGTCACTTGTTATCTGCAAGAGGAATGTTTTAACAGGAAAGAAGCAGGAAATAAATGGGTGGTGATGGTGATAATGCCAAGATGGTGATAAAAGCAGAGAGACTACTCTTGAGAAACATAGTGGCGAAGACTACCAAAGTTAATTAAGTTGAAGGAGATCTGGGTTAAGGGGGAATTTGTTTCCCCCTTCACAATCTGATCATAATTCTTGGCAGAAGAGAATGTGTTACAAAAGGACTGATTAAAAACACAGGAGATGCAAGGTTTTGTAGAGGCAGAAGAGATTGGGATAAAGAACACAAGTCTTGAGGGCTAATCTTGTAATAGAAGAAAGGCAATCAGGAGAGGTATGAGAGAATATTTTAAAAGGTGAAGGAGTCCTCCAGGAAATTTCATTTTCTCACTTAACTGAAGGTAGTTAGCAAGTGAGTGTCTGAGGGATTTGATGCTTAAGTGCTGAGAAAGGAAAGAGTAGAGATGGCTGGGGTAGAATCACAGATGTGACATCATACGACCGGGTTTAAGTCCAGTCCTCCTTGCGACTCACAAAGTTATGAGAAGATTAAATGAGATAATGCACATGTAAATGATAAAACGCTTCTTAAACGAGAGAAGCTTGGAACACCTGCCATGGGAAATGTGATGCAGCATGAATAAGATATGAAACGAAGTATAACCAAGCACCAGAGCATTTAGAGCCAGAAGTTCGGAGCAACAATATATAGCAACACAAGTCCACACAGTTTTTGTGACTTAACTCCAGCAAACCCAGAGTGAAGAAAGCAGATTCTGAATTAGGGTAGGTCAGAAGACAAGAGGCTGAAGTGACCCAGGTAAGAACTATTTTGAGACCCTTGTAGGCACGAATATCTTGGAAATGGCATGTAAATTTTATATGAAATGGCATTTGACTCATTGACATTATTTTTTACTTATGCTGCAGTTAGATCCTCCCAGTGGATGCCAACCCATACAAGATCCGTGTCCCCCTCCCCCCGCCCTTTTCTTTAGTGCTATGGATGGAAGCCAGGCCCTCACACAGAGGAAGCAAGCACTCTTTCCCTGAGCTACACTCCCAGACTGACATTATATTTTAGAAATAACCAGACGTTTCTTTTTTTTTCCAATTTTATACCTTTCTTTTCATATTTTGGAGGCTTTTCAGTTAAAACTTAGGCTCCAGGAACCATACCTAGAGCATAGAATCTATAGCATAATGAAGATATCAATAAAACAGCTGTCCATAGGTCCAATTCAAGTAGGTAAAGTCATCAATAAGTGTGACAGACTGGCACATTAGACAAGCTAAAGTGACTGGAGAAAATGAAGACAGGCAGAGGGTAAGGTGTCAGCATATTAGTATTCTTTGGAATTAGGGAGTTAAGGGTTCCAGATCCTAGGTGTAGCAAAGGCCCCCATATGACCAAATCAGAGATTCTTAGTAAGAACACTTAAAAGAGGTTAAGTATAAAGCTAAGGTGCTACGTATCTCCGTCTTCCTAGTTAGTTGGTGAACCCACAAAGGACTTGACCCTCACTGACATCTTCCACTGTCCCATTGTGACCAGTCAGGACTGATAAAGAAAAAAAAAAAAAAAACACAAAAAAGCAGCAGGGTCTGGTCATGTAGCTCAGTGGCAAAGCACTCACCCAGCATGTGAGAGACCAGGGGTTTGAGTCCCAGCAAAAGATCAAGCCAAACTTTCTTTGCACCTAGCTTTTCAGGTGATAAATATTTAACACCTTTTGTCATCTAAACGCTTCCCCGAACAGGGTGAAACAAATACTTCTAACGCAACAGGAATCCAGAGTGGGGTTCCCTCCAAATCGAGACCTCCACTCTAATTGGTTAGTGGTCCCACCCCACCCCCAAGTGGTTCCTAGAACCAGTCTGAGGTGCCCTCACCCCCGAAAAATGCCACAAGTTAGCGAACCGCTGGAGTTCTTATAACCCTCCCGCTGGGCCTTAGGGACTTCGGGGCTAAAATTTAGGAACCTCGCAGGCTCACACCCTAAGAGAAGAAGGTCCACCACCGCTCTCCACGCCTCCGGAGCCAGAAAACAACGCCTACAACTCCCAGCATGCTCCGGGCTGAGCCCGGTGTCAACTGACAGCGCCGCCCACCAATGGGAGAGCTCAGTCTGCGTTCCTGGGATCCACCCGAAAGCAAAAAGGAGGCCGACCCGGCTGCACATCAGCACTCTCTGGCTGCGACTGGGATAAAGGGATAGTGTTCGTAAAATGGTGACGCTGGCCATACTGTGCCGCTTACTCCTAGCCTTGATCTTTCCCTCGCCCTGCCTCCTCCGACTGGGTCCCCGCCAATGAACTGCAGGGGATGCGGAGTTGCCCAAGCTTATTGGATGACGTTGGTGTCGATCTGGAGGGCGGCTGGGCCCAGAACGGCAAGGTCCGCCTCTCTCAGACGGTGATTGGAGTTCCCGGAGTCGACCAGGACTGGGATTGGTGCGAGGACGGGCGCCAGCTTTCGGGCCTGCTGGGCCAAAGCGCTGGGAGGAGGTGCCCACAGAGGAGCTAGCGGAGACTCGCAGCTCCCCTGCCCGCTGCACGCCCTCCGCAGAGGGAAGGAGCCAGAGGACCCTCTACCTCATCGCTTGTAGCGTGTTGGACGGGACCTTTGGGGCGGGCTGCAGGAGGCGGGTGGGCATGGGGGGAGTGAGAGGCAGGGGTCTTGGAGTTAGCGGTAGGGCTAGCTTGGAGATTTAGACCTGGAAGTGCAAAGGGGGAGGAATTGGGAAACAGGAGGCTGTGGGTGTGTTTGGTATGGGATGCCATGGAAAGGAGGGGGCCCTACCACAGATCTTGAGTAGATTTGTGGATAGTTTCTTGGAGGTATCCTCTACCTCCCGTTTGCCCTTTTATTTGCCAACAAGCAGTTCTCCATGGTCTCTGTTCAAGTTCTGGAAACTTTCTCTCTGGGTGGGTTTAATCAGCTGCACCATTATAGAACTGCCCAGGGTCTTTTCTGATACTGGGCACAAACCTTGGGAATATGTCAGAAAACAAGAAGCCACTTTTGGGCTTTGTGCACAAACTCCCCAGTGGGACTGCACCTGCGAACTCAGGCAAGACTCGCTGCCCTTTGTGCATGGGGCTTTTCAAAGCCCCCAGGCTCTTGCCTTGTTTGCACACGGTTTGCACCACATGTCTGGAGCAGCTGGAACCCTTCTCAGTAGTGGACATGCGAGGGGGAGACTCTGACACAAGCTCTGAGGGGTCCATATTCCAGGAACTCAAGCCACGAAATCAGCAGTCGCAGATTGGCATCCTCTGTCCTGTATGTGATGCCCAGGTGGACTTACCCATAGGTGGAGTGAAGGCTTTAACCTTAGACCACCTGGCCATGAATGATGTCATGCTGGAGAATCTGCATGGGGAAGGCCAGGGCCTGGTGTGTGACCTGTGCAATGACAGGGAAGTGGAGAAGAGGTGTCAGACCTGCAAATCCAATCTCTGCCAATTCTGCTGCCAAGCTCATAGGTAAAGATGGGATACACAACCTGTGTGACTTAAGAGTGGAGTACAAAGTGGTGTTAAGACAGAAATCTTGGCTGGGTGCATCGGCACACACCTGTAATCCCAGTGGCTCAGGAAGCTGAGGCCAGAAGATTGTGAGTTCAAAGCTAGCCTCAGCAGCTTAGTGAGGCCCTGTCTCTAAATAAAATACAAAAAATGGGCTGGGGATGTGGCTCAATGATTAAGTGCCCCTAGGTTCAATCCCTGGTTACCCTCCCCTCCCCAAAAAGAGAAAAGAAATCTTTGGTGGGTAATTTAAAAGGAACACTTTCTCTAATACCATCAAAGATCAAAGACTAATTCACACTCTAGCACAGTAGTTAACCCCATCAGCTTAGAATAATACTTGTAGTAATAACAGTGAAGGTTTGCATAGTCCTTTTCAAAGTGCATTCAGTTTCCTTTCATCATCAATCATTTGTGTAGTGCATAAGTGTAGTAGGTGCTGGAGAAGTGGTAGGATAGTATAATAGCATAGATTCTGCCCTTGATCTCATGATCATTGCAACTCTTATAGAAAGGCAGCACTATTTTCATCATCATTTATTAATTGAAGGAATTTGCCAAGGTCCCACATTTGGTAAGTAAATGGGTAATAGAATCAAGTCTTAAATCCAGATCTTTAGACTATTCTGTGTGTGTGTGTGTGTGTGTGTGTGTGTGTGTGTGTGTGTGTGTTTTAATGAATGCCATCTTAGGATAGGAGCTGATTAACTAGACCTCAGTTTAGCCTTATGCTATCGAGTTACTCTGTAGCTTGGAGAAGTAGATATTATTTGGGGTGCCAATTATGTCTTCTGTCACACTTTGTGAACAGTTTGTGAGATAGATCATTCATTTTCCCTTGATACCCTACCCTACTCCACTCTAGGATGTCCAAATATAAAATGACCAAGCTTTTAGGATTAGCCTAAAATAGTTCTTAAGTTCTGACTTCCATTTGTTTTCTGGCCTCACCAACAGAACAAATTAGTAGTCTTCACTCTTTCTATTTTTATCTGGTAATTATATGACAATCCCTGTGACTGTATTGCTGCCAGCCAAACAGCTGACCCTTTTTCTATGCAACTAGTCTTCTGGTGCCAGGATAGGCACTTCAGTTTCAAGTTAATATTATGCTAATAGGGAAACTCTGAGCAGTCCCAAGTTTTCCTAGGGATTTTCCTGAATCTCTGGAGGGCTACAAAAAGGGGGAATTAAAAGAAAGCTTTGATTTTTTTTTCTAACCATTGATTTCACTTTTTAATAATGTGAAAATGTCTTAAAGGACATTCTAGTCTGCTGAAGGTGGGTGATGTAGGTATTGGTCAAAGAAAATGCTTTAGGTGAAAGCCAGATAAAAGTTTTTGTCAGGGCCAGCTACTGCTTTTAATTTTTTGTTTTTACCACTGACCTTTTTTTTATTTTTAATTTTGAGGCAAGGTCTTGCTAAGTTACCCAGGCTCACATTGAACTTGGAATCCTCCTGTGTCCGCTTCCCAAGTTGCCTAAATTATAGGTGTGCACCACCTTGTCCAGCTAGGTAGCTTTTTAATTGCTATGCCATTTGGCAGTTTATGTAGCTTGGTGCTGGTTTTCATAGTGTTCATCTCTAGCTTGCTGTAGAAGCAGGCCGTGACTTTTTGTCCAAATTCACCAAATTACTGGGGAAAGTTTTAGGATGTCATCTTGGCCTTACAACCATTTGCAAAAAAAAAAAAAATGTCCCAAGCCAAAGCCCAAGATTACTCCTATTTTGTTCTGGAATAACAGCCATTTTCGGTAGGTATTGGTCCTACTGTACCGACAAGTAATGAATCAGAGAGGATCATGCAGTTAGGGGTTAGAACAAGGAATGGAACTCAGATTTATTTTTTCAGAGCCCGTTCTCCTAAAACTTCTGCCAAACTGTGTTCCACCTTGGAATCATTTCCTAATATCCTGTTTCTCCCGGCTTGTTCCCAGGCGACAGAAGAAAACCAGTTATCACACCATGGTGGACCTCAAAGATCTGAAAGGCTACAGTCGGGTTGGGAAGCCTATCCTGTGTCCTATTCACCCTTCAGAGGAGCTGAGACTGTTCTGTGAATTCTGTGACCGGCCCGTGTGCCGTGATTGTGTGGTGGGGGAGCACCGGGAGCACCCCTACGACTTCACCAGCAACGTCATCCACAAGCATGGGGACTCGGTGCGGGAGCTCCTCAGGGGCACCCAGCCCCGTGTGGAGGCCCTGGAGGAAGCCCTGGCTCAGATCAAAAGGGTGAACAGTGCTCTCCAGAAGCGAGTGGAGGCGGTGGCTGCCGATGTTCGAAAGTTCTCCGAGGGCTACATCAAGGCCATCGAGGAGCACCGGAACAAGATGCTGAAGCAACTGGAAGACATACGGGTCCAGAAGGAAAACTCCCTGCAGCTGCAGAAAGCACAGCTGGAACAGCTGCTGGCCGACATGCGGACGGGAGTGGAGTTCACGGAGCACTTGCTGACCAGCGGCTCGGATTTGGAGATCCTCATCACTAAGGGGGTGGTGGTGGAACGGCTCAGGAAGCTGAACAAGGTGGAATATAACACCCACCCTGGGGTAAACGATCACATAAGCTTCTCTCCTCAGGAGAAGGCGGGCCAGTGCCATGGCTATGAAGTGTATGGGGCCATTAACACCAAAGAGGTGGATCCAGCCAAATGTGTCCTTCAAGGAGAAGGTAGGAAGGCATTTGTCATGGGCATTGAGAGGGCAGTGGACAGGGACGTGGTGTTTCAAGGACTGGGGCTTGTTCAACTGGAAAAGAGATAAATTGGTTAAAGACAGTGATCTGCTGTCTTGCCCCTTTCTTTCCAATTTGTTCTGGTCAAGAGTGCTGTTGACATTTAATACAGGTGTGAGACCTCACCCTGTTCCACTTCAGACAAGTAGTGACTCCCAGAAAACCCAGGGATCATGCTTTGTTTCCATCAGAGGCTAGAAATCGGGACAGTGCCTGCAGAGATAGATAAGGGCAATGACAAGGGCAGGGTGAGGTCTGCCAGCTCAGTGTGGCAAGCCTCAGCTGCCTGCATCATGCTCTGTAGGAGCTTAGAGAGAAATGAGGAAGACGACATTATGTTTTCCTTTCTTCCTTGTCCATCCTTGGTATACGTAAGCCTTATATCATTGGCACGTAAAGGAATATGGTAGGTACTGGGCATGGTGGTGCACACCTGTAATCCCAGCAGCTCGGGAGGCTGAGGCAGGAGGATCACAAGTTCAGAGCCAGCCTCAGCATAAGAGAAAGGTGCTAAGCAACTCAATGAGACTCTGTCTCGAAATAAAACACAAAATAGGGCTGGGAATGTGGCTCAGTGGTCAAGTGCTTCTGAGTTCAATCCCTGGTCACCACCCTCTACCAAAAAGAATAGGTGTTTCATTCATCAGGGAAAGAAATGGTTTCTTTTGCCCTGTGTTGTATTTCTAAAAGAAGCAGATTCGTCTAATATATATTTCACAGATCAGTCCTGATGAGAAAATGGAGTTCAAGAATCATCCTGACTCTGGCAGGGAATTTATAACTTTGGAAGTCACAGATACCTCTAAGAATGATCTATTCCCCCAGAAACACCAATGAAGCTAGGGCATATACTTTGAGGAGATTTTTATACCCTTCATGAGCCTCTCCATAGACGTCCTATTAGTTATAAAGCCTGGGCTAGGAGACCTGGTTCATCTGGATGCTGGGCTGAAGGCTCTAGCATTTGGATACCCCCCACCCCAGCTTGACATAAGTTGCTGTGTTGCAGACGATCTCACAACACAGAGGGTCCAAATTGGTCAGCTGTATCCTCTGCCTATTCCAGCAGGATCCAGAGCTCAGAGAGTGTGGTTTTGCAGTGTCTGACCCCTCACAGATCTAGAGATTTCCTTCTCCCAGTACTTGGATCCATCCTGAGTCTTTTCCAAGCTTCCTTAAGAAGTGAAGATAAAGTTCAGGAACGTGTACAACTCAAGAGCCAATCTCCCAGGAGGAATTCCCAAGAGATATACTCAGGAAGGCAGGAGGGAAAGCGGAAAGAAAGAGAACAGGGTGGTTACAATAGGCAGGAAGCACAACTTTTGTTCTGAAAAAGAAAAAGCTAGATGGTATCTCACCTGGGGATGTGGTCACTATGGTTTGCCTTTGAGGTGAGCACTGAGTGTTTATGTTTTGCAGATCTCCACAGAGCTCGGGAGAAACAAACAGCCTCTTTCACCGTGCTTTGTAAAGATGCAACAGGAGAGAGCATGGGCAGGGGAGGAGACAATGTCCACGTTGCAGTTCTCCCTAAAGATAAGAAAGACAGGTTTGTGGTGTGCAGTCAGGTGTCGTGGGTAATAAGCAGTGAGGAAACTGGAAACATGAGATCCTTTGGGTTATTGGAGATGCAAGTGTAGTAGTCCATGTTATCTTTATGTTATCATCAGTTGGACCAAATCTGTTTTCTTTTGTGGATTGTTTTCCTATATCCAATACTCTCTCAAAGATTTAGTCTGCCCCTTAGATTACCTTCTTCCCAGCTTTGGAATAGATGGAACTTTTTCCAGATTGGACCGAATTTTACCCTTCCTAAAATGTAACCTACCTTTGCTACTAAGTTATGCCAGAAGCATATTTCTATCTCTCTGGAATTGGAGTATAGAGAAAGGACTGAAAGTTAACCTCTGAGACAAGTGGAAGAAGCATCCCCTTTGGGGGACATTTAAAATTGTTATCGAGTGAAATGATATAAGAGTTCACATCCTAAAATGGTAGGTAGCTGAAGCAGGTTTGTGAGAGGGAGTAGGATTTTTTTTTTAATTCTTGTCTCCATTTAGTCCAGTCAGGACAATGGTCCAAGATAACAAGGATGGAACGTACTGCGTTTCCTACACCCCCAAGGAACCTGGTCTCTACACCGTGTGGGTCTGCATCAAAAAGCAGCATGTGCAGGTGAGTAAGACCCCTCCCCCACCCACCCAGCGCATGATGGCCCCGGCTTCTTTTACCCTGCTCCCCTGGTTCTGTTATTTTGGGATCTGGTGACATATCATAAGATCAGCTGCATAAAGATTGAGTAAGATTCTCTTCTTATTTCCCCCCATCTCCTCACTGTAGAAAAAGTCTAGATTTTGCTACTCTTATTCTTACTAGAGGATTCTAGTGACATAAGAACTCTTTATCCTTATTTCCCCTCCTGGCAGTTCTGCTTATATTTTATCATTCTTTTTGTCAGTTTGTTGGAATTCTTAATTTGGGGAAGATGCCCCAAACATGGGCAATCTATCAGCAGACAGAATGTAGTCTAGCTCAGTATTTTCCAGAGTTGTGCACACTGACCAGACGCAGACTGGCTGGGACATAATTGGTAGGGTTATACCCCCTCCTCTCAACTGACCATCATCCATCTGCCTAACCATCTGCCCATGTAATTCTGTACTCTGTTTTACATATATGCTTATCTGTTACCATGGTTACTATGCCACCTCCACAAATAACTGTGATACTTTCTGGTTTGTGAAGTGTTTTAAAACTGGGTAATCCATGTCCCGCAGATTTTCTCTTGTTTACATCTGCTAACACTGGAGTAGTCAGAAATTCCCATCAACCAGAAAACAACATTGCTGGGAATACTAGAACACTATGCAGTATCATGATCTCTTAGGCTAGTAGGTTGTATACTAGGTAAACTCATTCAACAGCCATTTATTGCTTACTTAATCACAGTATGTCACGAAAGTTTAGATGTTTTTGTACATTACTTCTGTTTTCTTCAAAATCACTCAAGTACAGGGATCATTGTCCAATTAGAGTAAGATCGATCTTGCCACACTATGCAGTAGCTCTGTAGCAAAATCAGATTTTGAACCTATTTCTTCAATGCTTGGTTTGTGTTTTTTAAATGAATTGTGTGTTAGCTTTCTGTAACAAAATACCTGAGATAATCAACTTAAAAGAAGGAAAGATATTTTGGCTCACAGTTTGAGAGGTTTCAGTCCATGTCCCTCCTTTAAAATGAGGGGGGGGGAATATAATATTGGAAAGGCTTCTAAGATTCCAGGCATTTTACTTGGTGCTTTCTCAGACTATGTGGTTCTCACATATGAATAGACAAAGTGCAACGCTCATTAAACATTTTTTGTTTTGTTTAACGTAGATAGAAATTAGAAAATGAAAGTTATCCTTAAAGAGAGTGGGAGAGTTACTGGAGAATAATTAGTTGCAAAGGTTTAACCTTTCTCCCTTCCATACATTCACAGTCCCATGATAGGTGGATGGGCAAACAGATGTGTTGTGTCCAGGATGGAGGACCAGGAGGAAAGAGGGTAGCCCACTATGTAAGGGGAGAAGGCATGTGGTGAGAAACTGGAGATAGAGCTACAGGAGGTCCCAGCCTTGTGGTTGCAAAGTTCTACAAATTACCCCTGAGATTACTTAAGAATTACGACTAAGCATCCTAAAGACCAAAGGCAGTCCCATAAAAGCACAAATCAAGATGATTGACATATCAGGTGGTCTACGCACTTTCATTTCACACATGGGAGGCAGAACTCCTTGTGAAAAAGCTTAACCTGATTAGGATATGGGCTTCTGCTTTTCTGCCATCCCACCAGAACAAGCCCTATCTAATTCAGATGTCACTGAGAACAGAACTGACTCTGTGGGATCCCACTCAGTGTCCAAGGGGTGCTGTCAAGCAGTTTCTATGGTGAGAAGTATGACAGAAGGCTGCACAGGCTCCTTGACTCCAATTTTACTGCATTTGTGTCTACCCCCACCCAGCTGAGCAGAGTTCTTGTCTTCTCTTCTGTTTCTCCACTACTGTCCTCGTCCCTCCAAAGGCGGGCTCCTTGGCTAGACTGTTTAGCACATAGCAATGCTCGGCACACCCTGTTGACTCATAAGGTGCTGTTCTTTGCTCTTGGCCTGAACACGGAAGGGCTCACCATTCACTGTGACTGTGAGAAGAAAGCGGCGCCCGCACCTGGGTGTGTTTCACTGCTGCACCTTCTGCTCTAGTGGAGGCCAGAAGAACGTGCGCTGTGCCTGTGGAGGCACCATGCCTGGTAAGGAGGAGCACCATTCATTACCCTTGGGACTGTCTTCCAGGAGTAGGGATCAACTGACATCCCCCACCCCACCGCACTGCCACATAGCCACTAGGTCCGGATGCTGGGACTGAGGCCTTGTTTCTAGGAAGCATAATCTGTTTTGGGTGCAGACACAGTAGAAGTTCCACTTTATCTGGCTTCTATATTCTGAGCTGATATTGCAGGTTGAAAGTTCTGAGTTCTGTTTGGTTTGGATACAGTTCACCAATCCTGCAATCCCATGCTTTCTCTGGGATTTTCAATTTCAGTCTATACCCTTTCCAGGAGGCTGAGCAATTTGAGAAAGATAGACCCATCTTACCCCTTTTAAAACCTTAAAGAAATTCCGAATGAGGCAGTGATTGGGGAGTGGATGATTAGATCCGTTAAACCAGGTCTGGCTCTCTTGTTGGTGATAGGGAGATCGCAGACAATAGATGGAATTATTTTTTTAAATTGCTCTATCATGTCCTTATTCTAATGGTGGGCCATAAAATGGGCTTTTGTACCCTTCCTTATAACCACTCCCGTACCTGCCTCCCTTTTCATTTCCTTTCATCTACCCTTCTTTTTCATTTCATTTTACAATTGAAATTCAAATCCTTTCACTTTGCAGTTAAAGGCCAAACTAGTCCATCTCCTTCGGTCGGTGCATTTAAACAGTGTTGGGAGAGCTTTGCTGACTTTCATTGATTTGCTGTGATGAGTCTTGAGCATCCTCCTACCATGGAGGGTCAGCTAGCTTGTTCCTCTCATCGGGGTTTTCTTAGGGAATGTCCAGGGTTGCCAGGAGGTTCAATTTCCGTGGTACCTGGACTCCACTCTCAGGGTTGTTTTTTCCCTCTCCTCTTTGTACTCTGCAGGTGGGTACCTAGGCTGTGGCCATGGGCACAAAGGCCATCCTGGTCGTCCTCACTGGTCTTGCTGTGGGAAGTTGACTGAGAAGTCTGAGTGCACATACATAGGTGGGCCGAGCACCTCAACGAGTCTACTCAGGACTGTGGCACTCTGATGCTTCCTGGTGAAACCCCAGACAGCTGGATTTCAGACTTCCAGAGGATTCCAAAGCTCAATTAATTCTGAAGAGACTGATAAAATTAAAAACAAAGTGCCTTATCTTATTTTATAGTTCAAGTGCTTATTTGTGAGTTACTCACCGATTGTACTTGTAGACGGTTGACTGTGTTTCTCTTTAAGGTAGGTTGGTGTGTGCTCTTTCTCTTTTGTACAGGTGTGGAAGAATCGATGCCCTTGGAACTTAGTCATGGGGTGGGGGATAATTTAGCTCCTTACTTTCTGATATATTATAACCTTTTTAATTTTTCCCTGAGCTATGTTATTTAGATATTTCCCTTGGAATATAACTGCCCCCTCCCCTATCTTATCCACTGGTTCTTTAGCACACTTTCACTGGATTTACTGGTCCATATTTTGTAACCATTATAATGTGACCTTGCTATTTGGGCAGGTGTCTCCCTCCTCCCTCTCTGGACCATGTCTCCTCCTGCCTCCCAAATCCTGAAGGATAGCTCTTGGTGTAGGGTGTACAAGTAGAACATTAATAAGAGGGGGTTGAAATACATCTCGCATGTCTATTGCAGTTCTGTTGATGCCAGGTGACCTGGACACCGTCACCCCCCCCACCCCGCTTCAAATCATTTTGATTTTTAGAGAATCATCTTTGCTTGTGTGTATATGCCTGGAAACTTAACTGAAAGCTTTGATTCTTATAAGGTGCCTTATTAGCTGCTAGAGAATTCTGGGGAGAGGAAATAGCACTGGTGCCTCAGCCCTGCCAAGGACTTTTCTGTATATGTTTTGTGTGTTCTGCGGGGACTCTCGATTTCTTCTATAGCAATAAACTCAGCGTATATTAAATAAAATTATTGAAATCTGCATTGTAAGATTCCTTAAGTTGTGGGTGACTCATCTGAGAGGTGACTTGGGTCAGGCAAAGCAAGCGAACTCATTAGATGGTGACGGGCAGATCTTCTGGGGTGTATTTCCTTCTTGAGGCCGACATAAACACTAACATGTTCTCTCTGGTCTCATCTTCTTCTGGAAACATTCCCGTCCGCCTCCTTAACCCAAATCTGGTCTTCCCAGAAGATGCTGTTTCCCATCACCCTCTCAGATTGTTAGCAATGGGTTCTCCCTCACTCCTGATAACCGTGGGCCAAGGGTCAGGTAAGGGTCTTTTTTTAGTTTGTCATTGCTGCTTTTAAGATCAGTGATTCTCAACCAGGAGTGACTCTGCGCCCCAGAAGATATCTGGCAAAGTCTCAGAGAAAGTTTGGTTGCCACTCCTGGGGCAGGTACCAGCAACATCGAGTGGGTACAGGTCAGGGATGCTGCTGAGTGAGCATTTTACAGTGTTCAGGACAGCTTCCCCAGACAAGGAATTACCCAGTCCAAAATGTCAGTAGTGCTTGAAAAACCTCTTCTAGAAATTTATCCCACTTGTTTTCTAAAAATGATTATTCCCCCTCATTTCTTGATTATAGTGTCAAGCTAAGCTCGCTGTCACCCCAGTACAGTTCCTCATCAATCTCAGGGTAATTCAGTAGCCATATAGACCTTGGGGTTGTGAGGCCATTTCCACTTATCCTACCTTAGCCTTATTTCATTCCTTGATTCCACCCGCACCCTCTGCATAGTCTCAATCTCAGACGTTCTCCCACGACCTCCCCTCTTCTTACTTGCCCACTGTGATAACCTGACTACTTATTCTTCTTTCCCTGGAACCCACGATGCAGTGATTCTACCACTTTCTTGCTATTCCCCTCCTCCCCTCATGTCCTCATGTCCTCCCCTGCATCCTTCTCAGCTTAGACCATCATGACAATTGTTCTTGCACAGAGTGTCCCTTGTTATCTTGCCTGGCAGAACTGCAACCCACATCGGATCCAGCTTTTCACTTAACCCTCTGAATGATTCTGCAGAAAACCACTAAAACATGATGACTAGTCCCACTTTAAACTTATGACCACTCATTGTAATGGGCTCTTAGCTTTGTCTGGTGTGTTGACAACATCTCCTTAGTTCCTGCCCTTGTCCCACTCTCCTAGATGATTGTTTCATACTTTCTTTCTCTTTAAACTCCAATTTCTACTCCACCTTCTCCTCTCCACTTAAGACCTTGCTTCCTGTTTCACCAAGAAAATAAAAGGATTCAGAAGAGGATTTCCTGACTCTCCCACCACACCTGTGAATCTACCTGTATTCCTATCAAAAGCCAACTTCTGCACGGTGTCCTAGATCCCATGCCATCACTCCTACCCAGAGCTGTCACTCCAGTGGCTTTCCCCTCGATGGCATTTCTCATTTTAGGAAACATGCTACAATATTTCCCATGTTAATACACAGATTTCTCTTGATTTTTCTTAGTCCACCTTGGCTGTAACAGTACCTTGGACTGAATGGCTTAAGCAATAGTTCTGGAGTCTCCAAGTCTGAGATCAAGGCACTAGCAGGGCAGGTTTCTGGTGAGTCCTCTATCCCTGATTTGTAGTTGGCAGCCTTCTTGCTGATCCTCACGTGGCCTTGCCCCTGGGTGCTTATGCTCCTGGTATTTCTTCCTCTTCTCATAAGGACACCGACCAGCCCTCCTGGATTAAGGCCCCATTTAACCTTAATTACCTTTGTAAAAGCCCTATTTCTAAATTCTGCTCTGTTAGGGGATTAGGGCTTCACCTGGCAATTTTGAAGGAACCACAATTTGGTCTATAATAACTTGCCCGTTTAGCAATCTATTTCTCAACTCCCCAGACCTCAGTAGCATTGAGATTTGTTATCTCTACCTCCCTCCCTTCATTCTCTCTTAGATTGCATCCAGTCATTTTTTAACCCTCAGAACACTACACTGAACTAGCTCTTTTCAATACCAATAGTAATAGCCATGTTACAGAATCCAAGGGAATTGTCAATCTTTATCCTTTTTGATCTATCAGTAGCAATTATCATAGCCGGTCACTTTCCCCTCCGTGAAACATTGTCTTCCCTTGTTTCATGTGGCATGACTCTTCTTGATTCTCCTATCTCATTGTCTATTCCTGCTCAGTGTCCTTTGCTAGATCCTTCTCATCTTACTGTTCTCTACATATGGGAGAGAACCAAAGAACAGTGCTTGCATTTCTGTCTTTCCCCTGCTCCCTAGATGATCTCCTCCTATCAGGATTTTAAATACCATTTATATACTGACTTCCAAATTTATCTCCTGGTCCAATCTCTGTATAGGACGGTGTCCAGTAGCTTCCTTAACTTCTCCCCTTGTATGTATAATAGGCATCTCAAATTTAAGATGTCCAAAACAGATTTACAGTTTTCAATTCTTACTTTCCCTTTGCTCACCACCACTAAATCACTTCTCCCACAATCTTCTACCTCCCTTTAAAAGCACAAGTCCACTCTTAGAGGTGGTAGAGCCAATAGCCTTGGAGACGTGCTTTGTGTGTCTGTCATATACCACATCCAATCCTCAGGCAAATCCTGTCAGCCCTTCCTTCAAAATATATCTACTGACTGTGCTTTTCACCTCCATTGCAACCATCCTGGTCTGAGATACCAAGATGTCTTAACCTGAATTCTTACCATTTTCTTCCAACTGGTCTGTTTCCACCCATTACTCCCTTACATTATACTCTCGACCCAATATTCAGAGTGATCCTTTCAAAACGTGTCAGAGCATGTCATTCTGTGCTCCACGTCCTCCAGGGGTCTCCCGTCTTACTCGGAACAATAGCCAGCCTATGTGCTTCATGTCAGCAGTGAGATCTGGATCCTGCTCTTCTCTCATCTCCTGCCCATTCCCCTCCATCACTCTAGTCTAACCAAACGCCTGCCTGCTGCTCCTGACACTCCAAGCACTCTCTGCCTTGGGGCCTAAAAATCACTGCCCCTCCGTGTGAAATTCTCTTCTCACAGTTACCTTTATGATTCATTCCCTTATTTCTTCAGAAGAGGTTTCTATTTTAATGACAACTATCATCCTATTAGTGAGGTCCCTCACTACCCCATGTAAAATAGCAACATCATACCCCAGGATTCCATATTACCCTGCAGAGGCTCCATCCCTTCTGACATGTATATTCTACTTATGCTCTGTCCTTTCATACCAGACTGTAAACTCGATGAGAGCAGGGACTTGGTAACTACTCTAGTGTCCCCTTGTAGGGACAGTCCTTGGCATACAGTAGAGACTAAATGTTCTGTTGAATGAATTTAGATTTATTTGGTAGACTTTTCAGTTTGGATCTACTTAGTCTGTTTTCATAAGACTTCCCTTCTTTCAAACTCCAACATTTCTTATTTAACCAAATACCACTTGGGGAAAAAAGTCTCAGACTTCTCTCAAACTTGGTGGATGAATTATACGCACCCAAGGGACCAGCCTTGAATTTTCCAGTTACCTCAGACAGCTAGGGAATAGCTTGCCATAAAGAAGCCTGTGGCATTACATCATCTTTCCCCATGGGTCTTTTTATGAATCCGATTGCAGAATTGTGGATAAAAATCATTTACTTCAGGTAGAAGCTGCTGTACATGAAGTTATGTTGCAGTACAAAATTTCTATAAGATGCCTGGTTTTGGGTTAGTGACGTGGGCTTTAAACACTACTAATGGTAACAATTCTTCTAGAATTATTTAAAGTGTGGGTGGGTGGCAGCTGGGGAGGCTGACCTTGGCCTGTACCATAAGGAGCCTTAACCCAATTTAATTCAACTGCCCTGCCAGCCAAAAGACCTGGTAAAGTAGGAGTGACCTACAGAGCTCAAGACTTCAAGGAGAGGAAAAAGGAGTTGGAGGATTTAGAACTTGTCTCCATGTAATGGAGTGCTGCAGAAATTGTCTGTGAGTTGTGAGCATTGGAGCATCAACAAGAAGCCGCATTATGATGTAGTTTAATGCTGTTGGTGTTAAGGTTAAAAAAAAAATGCATCACAAATTAGAGCCTCAGTCCTCTGGGATGTTGCACCAGGATAAACACCTTGGCTGTCTTAGAGAATAAACACATTTACCTGTTGGCCCACCCATTCTCTGATCTCAATAATCACCCGTCACCCATTCCCATTCCCTCTTGCTCAATTTTACCCCAGAGGATGGATACCTGTGTATTGGGTTTAGCTCAATTAAGAGGTTGTTTGATCAAGTGAATGCTAATTAGAAGGATGATACCGGAAGAGGCATTTCACTCTGCCCTGTTAGCCCCTACATACGGGTGTAGGAATTCCATCATTACTTCCAGAAAGATCTCCCATGACTAGGTTAAATCCCTGTGATAAACCTTCATACACACACACACACACACACACACATGCCTCTCCATCCACACGATCATCACCATGCTGCTACACAGCCATTTGTAATTAATTTGATTAATGCCTGTTTCTCCCCTAGTGCACTCAGGAAGGTAGGATTGTTTGGTTCTTGTTTGGTTCTGTTTATCTTTGTATTTGCAGCGCCTAGCAGTGTCTGGCACAGCAGATGTATGTGTGTGTGTGTGTGTGTGTGAGTGTGTGTGCACACATATACACATACACATAAACACACACACATTCACTCACACCTGATCAATAGTAGTATTCTCCTCATTATTCTTTTCATCCATAATCTCCACCTGCGCTCAGCCTGAGCTGGAAGGTAGTAAGCACATTGTGGACCTACACGAGTCGCCCCGTCCACTCTCTAGAGTAGTCTCCTTTTTTCATTTCCATCTCCCTCCCTCAGCTTCTGATCCCTGCAGTATGTGGTGCCATAACTGACTCTAATTTCATTCTAATTTTCCTCAAGGTTACACGTCCAGGAATTCTGAGTTTCTGCACTGATTCTTTCTGTCTGCAGGTATGCTTTTCAGCTCCTCCTGTGCTTTCTAGGGCTAAATGCTGTATGACAAATAGCA